TAATACTATTGTCATTTCAGTTGCTTTAATATGTTGCATATTCTTAATAATACTATTGTCATTTCAGTTACTTCAATATGTTGCATATTCTTAATAATACTATTGTCATTTCAGTTACTTTAATATGTTGCATATTCTTAATAATACTATTGTCATTTCAGTTGCTTTTCCCGATGATTCATATGATGAAAACAAATGTTCTACACCTAATATTCCTGAAGGAGTCTGCAAAAATGTTTTGCAATGTGAGGAACTCTTAAGGAAGAACGATTTCGAGTTCCTCAAGCAAGCAATCTGCGGTTATGAAAGTAAAATCCCCTTCGTCTGCTGTCCAACATCTGGCCCCTCTTCAACCCCCAAACCAGAAATTACAACAAATGCTCCGACTGAACCTACACCCACTCTATTGCCACCTACTCTACCAGCTCGTGAGTTGTCTTATGTCCAGCTGTTTTCATGATGATTTGCTGTATTTTATAATACCAGATTTTCAGACAACTTTTGACCAAATCTATAATCTAAAAGTAATCAAAACATCACAATGTGACCAATTTACAAATATTTGTTTAACTGTATTGTGCATATAATATTACATAGAAACGTTAAAAAACGTAACAAGTTATTAAAAAACATACACACTTTAGGTTGCAAAAAAAAAAAGAAAAAAAAGAATGAAACCTAAACAAATATTATTTGACATGTTTAATAAAGTGATATGATTGAGTTTTATATACTTGAATTTCGATCATAAAATTAGCACGTATCCTTCTTGATCCTAGTTGAGAATCTTCCTCTGATTATTTCCTTAACCAGTTTTACAAGTTTTTATAATATTTGGCCTGCAACTCTATTTCATAAAGATGTTAAAACCTTGTATGGAATAATGATTTATTATTCTTGATAAAGCTAATTTTTAAATTGATCTATTTAAATAGATACTTTTCTATGTTACGTAATATTCCACTCAGATTCTAGTTTATCTGTTTGGGCTTAATCCAACCCATAATATAAGAGCTTTAGTGCAAGTAGCACAATTATGAGAATATTGATAGCCATCTGTCTCCTTTGTTTGTATTAACTTTATCTCACAGCCTCCTCTCTGTGCTACAACGCTAAAAAACAGGGTATCAATACCCGTGGTGAGCACAACACAGAAGATAGTCACTTGTGTAGGTCTTTGCTTAACAACAACTAAACCAACTTATTAGTTTAAAAAGTATAACAGTAACTTCTCAGTAGATTTAAAAAATGAAATCAAACCACTCTGAATTTAGGTTAAAGATGCAACAAATGGTTACTGATTTAATCACTCTCTTGTTTTATTATTTTAGGTTGTGGTTTACGTAATGCAACATCAACCAAAATTGTAGGTGGACGTGAGGCAGAAGTTGGAGCTTGGCCATGGATGGTGAGTCCAAACAACCTCTCAAGGGCAGATTTTCAGTAAAAGTTACCAAAACATTTACTTCATTTACTGCAAATTTCAGAATACTCTCAAAAACTCAATATCAACCTTGTACAATATTTATTCAATTCAAGCTCTAACTTTAGAAGTTCAACCACCAATCAAATAGTCCATTAAAAAGTTTCCCTTTTTGGTATTTTATTATTCTTGTCTGCCTGTTTTTAGGTTATTGGCCTAGCCTGACGTGGCCTAGTGATTAACGCAATCCACTCGCAGTCTGCGGTTCGCAGATTCGAATCCCATCACAGAGCATGCTTGCCCTTTCAGCCATGGCGGTGTTATAATGTGCGGTCAAGCCCACCTTTCATTAGTAAAGAATAGCCCAGTGGGTTATGTTTATTAGCTGCCTTTTCCCTAGCTTGTGATATCTAGATTAGGGACGGCTAGCGTAGATAGTCCTCGAGTAGCTTTATTCAACAAACAATGGTTTTGGGTCATTAGAGGTGAAAACTATAGCTGTTAACCTAATGCGTTGTTTTAATTCAATGTTACAATTTGCCTGGCAAACTCAGCGAAAGTAGGATATATTTATGCTGTAGTTATAACAAGTAAACAAAGATTCTTTGGTTAGAAAATAGTTGACACGAGAATTTGTTAGATATATCTTTAGTGGTGTTTGATTTACATCTTATATTTTGTATATGACTTCATTATTATGATCGTAATATGTATATTCTTCGTTCTTTAGACTGCTGTCTACATTAAAGAAGGAAATTTCAAAAGTGCTCAGTGTGGGGGCGCTCTAGTCACCAACAAACACGTGATAACAGCATCTCACTGCGTCGTAAATAGTGCAGGAACAGACGTGTAAGTACCCATGATCTTTCACAGTACATAGTTAGTAAATGTTGACTGTTTTTATTTTTTGTATAAACGTAAACACACCACAGAATGAGGTGTAACATAAATAATGGAGAAATTCAGTTCATTATGGAAGAAATTTGTTATTAGAAAAAAATAGAGAATGCTTGGGAAAAATCAGTGGTTAAACAACTTTGAAACAGGTATTATAAGAACGACGGAAGAAGGTTGGAATTTAGAAAATTGAGGACCCAGAATAGCAGAGTGCCCTTACAAGAAAACACAGACATATATTTTATTACTGTCAAACAGTTAACTACAACCTGACTTTATAGAGCCATCTCGAGGTAAAAAAAGAAACTACATATTTAAATCTACTATTATGGTATGATTGAGGCTTAGACCCAGCCATCTGCACTATGATAATAATACTTGTATGATTGGCCAACAGTCTGCAATGAGATTAGTCCTAAGGATGTCAAAAACGATATAAGCTATACAATGAGAACAGTAGAAAAACGAACGACACAAGTCATTCTAGTGTTATGTGAGGGATGTATTTTTATCACCACTAGAGGCTCAGTTTCTAAACACGTACAATGAAGTCACATAAATGGAGTTATACAACAACACAAGTGCCAAGGTGTACACGTGCATAACGTGGAGTAAATATTAATTACACACTTCCTGCTTGAATTAAAAACATGTTTCACAAACTTTTAACCACAAATAAACTCTGGACATTTTAAATAATGTTTAATTGTGTTGTGTATTATACAATGAGTAGCCTACTGCATGTTGTAGGTGGCAGCAGTATGTGAAGTTCTGTAAGGTGTGGTGTGTGTTATATAACAGATAGCCTACTGCATGTTGTAGGTGGCAGCAGTATGTGAAGTTCTGTAAGATGTGGTGTGTGTTATATAACGGATAGCCTCCTGCTTGTTGTAACTGCTGCCACCATGTAAAGTTCTGTAAGGCACATACCATACTATCTGTTATATAATACAACATGCAGTAGGACTGCTGCCACCATGTAAAGTTCTGTAAGGTTTGGTGTGTGTTATAAAATGGACATTGTCATGTAAGAAGGGGTGTTATGGAATGGGCCACATTCGGCCCCTTTTATGAAGTGTCTGTACATCTAGATTTTTTACTTATTTTGGTGAGAAAGTAAATGTGCTGTTATAACGAGGCAAACTTCTTGTACAGAAATTCATATGACCTATACTTGGTCTCAGTACATATGCATCAACATTTTAAAGTGGCATGAACAGGTCTTAGCTTCCGAACAGAGTTGGGAATGATTAATTCAAAGTATTAGACTACAGCTAGTCGTCATTAGCTGGTTGAGTGTTTTGAGGCAACAGAGAAGAAAATATTTCTCCAACTGTCTGTTGGAACTATACCCGAGAAGAAGTTTTTAGAAGATGCATGAGTTATTTAGGCCTAATCTGTGTTATACCGTATTCAAAGAGTGGTTACTAAAACAACCTCTATGACAACGTGTCTGGGTACTTTTGAAGAACGAAGAGTTTTTACGTGAACTGTGTTTAATTGTAAATATACATATAAAATTGATTATAAAAATATTTAAAAATATCTTTTAAAGAAGTACAACTTAATAACAAACGCTACCAGTGACTAACTAAATATAGTCAATAATATCGTGTGATATTTAAAAAATGTTTTAGCAGTAGGTATGCTATCTGATTGTTTTGTAAAAATCATTCCAAAATCATATTTATTCAAAATCTTGAACAGGTCTATATGTAATTTTTGGTTTCTTCAGAATGAGAACCTAAAGCCAGAAATAGTTTTTGTTGATGCCTGTGTTTGTTATCCACTTTAGGTTACCTGCAGACGACTTTTCAGTTCGACTAGGTGAACACAACTTGTTCAGTACCAATGATAGTTCTAATCCGATTGATTTTCCAATCAAGTCAGTGAAGCATCATGAAGACTTTGAACTCAAGACGTACAAGAATGATATTGCTATTTTGACGATAGATGGCACTGTTACGTTTACGGAAAGAATACATCCAATATGTCTGCCATACAATAATTTACGATTGGAAGATTTAGCACTAAGAAATCCTTTTATTGCAGGATGGGGAACAACAGCATTTAGTAAGTTAGCACACAATTTATTTAGAAATATATAAAAGTTTTCATTAATTACGTAACTTTTTACTTGTTCAGATTTTAAATCGTTAATTTCCGTATTGGCTTCTGTTATTACATACTTCCTGTATGTTTCAGACGAAATGCCAAAGCTGTTTATACAAGTACACAATCTTATGTTAAAGAAATTTTAAATGACCATATACTCCTATATTTTTTCAGAATATGTTTTATAAAGCAATAATGTAAATTTGTGAATTGTTGTATATTATGCGCTAGCCGTGCCTAATTTCGCAGTGTATTCACCAACGAATAATGGGGTTGACCGTAACATTATAACGCTCCCACGACTAAAAGGGCGAGCATGTATGGAGGAATGTGAATTCGAACACACGACAATAAGTTTGTGAATCAAGCGCCCTAACCACAAGGCCATGCCGGGCCTTTTATTGCTGTTTCTGTTTGGTTAGGTTTGAATGGAGGAATTTCCGTTAGGTTTGTATGGAGGAATGTGAATTCGAACACACGACAATAAGTTTGTGAATCAAGCGCCCTAACCACAAGGCCATGCCGGGCCTTTTATTGCTGTTTCTGTTTGGTTAGGTTTGAATTTCGCGCAAAGCTACGCGAGAACTATCTGCGCTAGCCGTCCCTAATTTAGCAGTGAAAGACTAGAAGAAAGGCAGCTAGTCATCACCACCCACCGCAAACTTTTGGGCTACTCTTTTACCAACGAATAGTGGGATTGACCGTAACATCATAACGCCTCCACGGCTGAAAGAGCGAGCATGTTCGGTGTTATTTTTAAGTAACCTCCTGGAATTAAATAATCGTACATTGGTTAAACAAAATATAATTAGAGAAAAATCGCATATTTACAGTTATTAGTTTAATATGCACTGATGAGAAATGTTTCATCGACTTTTTTGTAACAATATTTTCTGTTTCAAAATCGTTATGATGCATGTTTATAATTTTCATAATATAAACTTATCATTTTGATACTCGAAATTTATTGATATCTGCTTCTTTCTTTTTAGCAGTTTTAACAATTTTTAGCTGGTTAAAGCGCAGATATCCCATTGTGCAGCTTTGGGCCAAAGAAGCAAACTTAATTTAAAACTAGAGAAATACACTTTAAAAACCTTAGAATTCATGATTCACCGTATCAGAAAGAAAACATAAATAATAATGAAATTCTGATTTATCTCAACAGGGAACACAAAATATGTCTTAATGTTTTGTTTGTTTTTTGGAGGGGGGATAGTTATGTATTTTAAAACAAGTTATTTTTTTTATTATTTCAGATGGTCCTAGTAGTGCAGTATTGCGGGAAGTTCAGATACCTATTTGGGAACAAGAGAACTGTCGAGAAGCTTATAAAAAGGACGTAAATATAACCAATGTTTACATGTGTGCAGGGTTTGCAGTAGGTGGCAAAGATGCCTGTCAGGTGTGTTTACCTGTTTATTCACGTGTGTGTGTTCATATACATATAATATGTTATTCTCCAGTGTAATGATAACACTCAGTGACTACGTTTCGTATACAAAGAAATCGAATGCTCAGAAAATACAATCCAGTCTAGTCTTTAATTTGTAACTATTGATTTTGGATCACTAGCTCGATAAAATTTCTATTATCGTTGTGTGTTTTTTTTTTTCAAATTACAATTTTAAATTGAATAAAATGTGTTTGTTGCATCTGCGAGATAAATCATTAAAATATTTATGCTGTTACAACCATACACACTAAAACTTTTATACCATAAATGAATAAACACAACCAAAGAATAATAGTTACCATAACTAATAATAATCGTTTTTTCTTTAGGGAGATTCCGGAGGTCCGCTCATGTTGCCCCATGAATCTAAATTCTACCTTATCGGAATCGTGTCTTTTGGAAAGGGGTGCGCGCGGCCTGGATTTCCTGGAGTATACACTCGAGTGACGGAGTTTTTAAATTGGATTGCAGTTAATTTGGTGTAGATAAAGAGGGGGTTATCAGCAGAATAAAGAACTTGTTTTAGAGCCTAAATAATCACATATTTTTCACTTACTTTGTGTCCTTCGTGTTTTATTTCTCTAGCTGTTGGCACAAGAATACACACACACACACAAAACTAGATAATTATTACAAGCCATTTTGGTTGGTTTGGTTTATTTTATTTTAGTTTGCGCTGTATATTGTCTCGCAACGCAAACGCAGTAAGAAAAAAAGGAGCTTGATTGATTATTAAAAGTAAAATTATTTGCTACGCAGTTTTGTAGACCGTAACTGACAAGTTGTTACGTTCGACGATCTCAGATTCTTGGTTTGTTTT